GACCCCCCCTGCGGTACTGCCTTCAGCTCTGGGGTCCTCAGCACAAGAAGGACATGGACCTGTTAGAGCGAGACCAGAGGAGGCTACAAAGATGATCTGAGGGCTGGAGCACCTCTGCTGTGAGGACAGGCTGAGAGAGTTGGGGTTGTTCAGCCTGGAGAAGAGAAGGCTCTGGGGAGACCTTAGAGCAGCCTTCCAGCACCTAAAGGGGGGCTACAAGAGAGCTGGGGAGGGACTTTTTACAAGGGCTTGGAGTGATAGGACAAGGGGCAATGGCTTTAAACTGGAATAGGGCAGAGTTACATTAGATATCAGGAAGAAATTCTTCCTGGTGAGGGTGGTGAAGCAGTGGCAGAGGTTGCCCAGAGAAGCTGTGGCTGCCCCATCCCTGGAAGTGTTCAAGGCCAGGCCGGATGGGGCTTTGTGCAACCTGGTCTGGTGGGAGGTGTCCCTGCCCATGGTTGGAACTCAGTGATCTTTAAGGTCGCTTCCAACCAAACCATTCTATGACTCTATGAATACACACAATGAAAGAAAGCTGTCTAGAACAGCACTGCAATTAAATTATGCTGTTAGTCACATGAGAATCTCTGAGAAAGCAAAGATTTATGAAATCCAATATATATTTACACATTTCAGTGGAACTTTAAGAAGTTCTTCAATTATTTCAGCTAAAAATAGTAACTTCTGAGTTTTCAACTATTATGATTGTTTTAGAATAGAGGTTGATGGTACTGGCGATTATGGCATAATCTCTGTATTAAAATAAGGTAGTATGAAGAATGATGTCACAGCTCTACTTTTTTTTTTTCTTTTCAGCTTTAAGTAGAGAAAGTTTCAGACAAATTTAGCAGGTGGCTAACAGTGTTAAATGCTTCCACTAGAGGGTGATATGAGAAGATCTTAAAGAGATCTTGCTTAAGGAGATCTATTGAATAAAGATACATAAAGTTGCATGAGAACAAGCAACTAAATGTAACTGTTCGAGGTGATGCAGCCTCCACCTCTATTACTAGCAAATAAGAAAAAATAAAAAACCTAACAAACTAATGGTGCTGTGAAGACCAGATTTTCATCAGTGACATACCTCCAGCATCTAGAACAATATCCACTCCCAGGCCACCTGTTTCTTCCAAGCAGCTTTCTGCCACATCTATCTTTCCATTTGAGACATCTATCACTCGAGCTAGAAAGAGCAGTACATTTGGTTAAGTACTATAAAAATGTAGAGTTTAAGTTCAGAGCAGAATAGAAAGTTTCTAGGTTCTGAAAGTATTACAAGCATGTTTGCAGCCAAGTCAAAAAAACTAGCCAACAGGGTTTTTTTTCATTTTCCGATACAGTGTAAGATCTACACCAAAAAAATATGTATTAGTTTAATGCAGAAGTAAAATTCACAAGTCTGTTTAGGCCAAAAAGGATAAAGTGTGCTGCTATAAGAATTATAAATCCTTCAGTAAGTTCATTCTTTTACTATTCTTCTTTTCCAAAAGCACCTTCAAAAATACCAAGTTCTGGAGTGACTAACCAGGTTATTGAAGAAAAAAAAGTGGCCAAAAGATAAGGAAGCACCTTATTTCATATATCCCAACTTTCAAATTATGTATCAAATAACCATAGCAGTAATGCTTTGGGAGTTTTCCAAGCATAGCTTTCTTCCCTTACTCTACATAAAACCCACCAACTCCTGCCAGTCCCTTGCAGAGCCCTCCTCTCGCTTCCCTATCATAGAGGGAAACAAAATCCTATTCTCCCTGGCATGGAGCCCTGTCTCCCAGGGCACGTCAGAAGTAAACATATAAAACACAGTAAATTCAGTCACTTACAAGGTGCACTGACTTGACTTTTCTTATGATTCTCGCAAGTCTTTTAATCGTATTATAGCCATATTTTCTTTAAAATGCTTAGTAACATTGTTACTTATCTCGCAGCATGGACAAACTCATTAATGTATTACTTTCTGCATGATGTTTTTAACCTCTAAATGGCTCTCTGGGTCATTAAATAAACATTTAGATAGAAGTATTTACATCTCCTCTTGAAATATTTCTGAACTGAAAGTCACTAATACATTTTCTTCTCATATACCTGTGATACCATATTTATAGATGGTTATAAAGATAAACAACAGAATCAGGAATAACTAGGGCAGAGAAGTAGCAGCTAAGGTTTTTAGTTTCGTTTCATAATTATGAGGAAGAACAAACATTGAGAAACTAAACAGGCCAGAGACTTCTCAGCAAAATAGTAACTGAAATAAGGTCAAATAAATTTGAAGGTATATTTCCAAAGCATAATGGATTAAACTTAAATTTGCAATGTGTACTTACCCACTAAAGGCTGCCGTACACCTTCTTGAATTTAATCACAGGTAGTGGGAAGGAAGGAGAGAAGAAAAGTTGCAAGAAACTGGTCATTAACAAGAATATTAACAAATACTCAGTTAATGCTTTGGGTTTGGGTTTGTTTTTGTTTGTTTGTGTTTGGTTTTGTGGTTTTTTGTTGTTGTTGTTTTTTGTGTTTTTGTTGTTGTTGTTGTTGTTTTCCCTCCTTCCAATCAATCATAAGATGCATTCAAATTCTTAGGTCAATCATTCAATTTTTTCACTGAACTCAAATTATCTGGCTAAACAGAACACACATGGTCATAATTTAATAAAGATGTCACATTAATTTAATAATGATAGTCACATTCCCCATATGCAAATAAAACCCCATAATATCCTTTTGTTACTAGTTTCTTCAGTCAAGAAGTTAAAAGGTTTTTCTTAACATGGCAATATGACATGGTATAAAGTTTCTGCAAACAGATTCACTTTGTGTTCCCCAGGGCTCAGTAATGGGGCCAGTTCTGTTTAATTTCTTTATCAGTGATCTGGAAAAGGGCATCGACCGCACTCTCAGTCAGTTTGCAGATGACACC